AATCTATATGGGTCCCCCCCAAAGCCCATTCAGTCTCCTGCTCTACTAGCAGAAGCCCACGTCAAGCTTTAGGGAGACCAAGTCCTGGCGGGTAGCAGGTTGCTCTCCAGGACGCCTGTGCCCTTCTGATCCCAGCGACTGAGCATGGCAGGGGGAGCCTTGTGTGGCCCAGGCCTCGTTATGTCAGTAAGATCCACTGCCAGAATTATTTGTTATAATTCAAATTATTTAAGCTGATAGGAAGTTCAAAAGAGTTACCTCTAGGAAAACTAAATAAACACTTTGAAGAGACTTGACAAAGGACTTGCAGTTCCAGTAAGCAACCCCCAAACGCAAAAATATTAGCAAATGGACATGTAGTTACATATTTTACATCAAAATAAAATGTGTAAGATATAGACATGGTTTTCTTTGGTCTTTCTTAATTGACTTTTTCCATTAACCCTCCAGCCACTGCGCTACCCAGTGCATCAGTGAAATGTGCTTTTATTACTGTCGTAGGGTCTGTTCTGGCAGCAAAGGAGACTGGAGGCCCTGGTGAACCAGAGGCATTCCAGGGAGGCGTAGGAAGATGGGGAGTCTCTGTGGCTCAAGGGCACCTGGTGGCTGTCAGGCTGCAGGACATGCAGACTCAAAGAGAAGAGGGTCCCTGTCTCCGGCTCTGTGACTCTTATGTGTTACCTATTCATCTATGCATTTTACTTTCAAAGAATCACCCTTTCTGTTCACACTCCAAACTGCTAACCCAAAGAAAGTAAACAAAATGCCATTATAAATGCCCTATGGGTGGACTTATATGCTATTCACAGCTGCCTTTAATTTAACGCCATAGGTTTCCAAGTGAGAAAAATGCAGTTATTTGCATTTGACTCCACACTTCCCCAACCCAACGTCCTCTAGGCTTTCAGCACAACATCAAAGTGACAAGGAGAGAACCTTTCTAACTGATGATACCAGGCGATCAATAAAGGAAGGTGATATTTACTTACTATGTGCAAACTACTACAATCACGACTTTTAATGTATTGTCTCTTAATGTTCATCAACATTGACAGGTTGTTAACAATGTCCCAATTCATACAACTAGAAAACAGTAACAAAGGCGAGGGTTTTACTTTTTATATGCTCAGTTACTCAGCTGGGGATAGAGTCAGGATGCACACCCCGGCCCGGCTCTAGGATCCACATTCTCTCCCCACCATACTCGCTGCTGCAGAGCCACGAAGAGCTGGGCTGGGCTGGTTTTCTTGTGAAAAAGTGTGTGTCCATGTAAGAATGCATGGGCACCCCTGTGTGTAGAGAGGGAAGCCAGGAACTGGACTGAAACATGGCACACAGAGCCGAGGATATTCATAAACGCAGGAATAAGAGGTGGGAAAGTGGAAGGTCAGCCCCAGCAGTGAGGAGAGAGAAAGCGCTGGAGAAAGATGCTTTGTGGCCAGAGGGCAAGAGATCACGGCTGGCCTGGGAAGGCAGTGGTTGCCAGAAAAGCAGGGTCAACCACAAACTAAGAGGGACCTGCCAGGGCTTGAACAGGAAAGAGCCTTCCCAGAGGCCAAAAGAGTGGGGAAGACAGGACGTGATGAGGCTCGAGGGTGGGTGGACCAACACCCACAAGTACTGCAGGGGGCGTGCAGAAGCGGGGCGTCTCTGGGGTGGAAGCAGGGGTCTGACAGAGCTTCTTAAAAGTGCTGAGCCAAAGGCACCCCTCCCAGGACTGGCTAGGCAGGCCATGCTGTGCTGCACCTGAATACACTGGGTCCCCTCAGGTGGATTCTCAAGGTGGGTGAATAGGAAACTGCAGGGGAGCGCCTGCATACCTGTGTTTAAAAGCTCTCTTGGTGACTCTGGTACAAGCACAGCTTTGGGAAGTGTTGGTGTATCCTTGGGCTGAACCAAAAGGCCTTCAAACCAAGTCAGGAAGAATGTACTGGGTGCTTTGGAGACCACAGATGGACGTCCCCAGACCACGAAACTCCCAGGGAAGAGCGGAAAGTGGAGATAAATACCAACGACTATACAGGAGGCTGAGAGGCTTATGCACAGGGGACTGTGGGAGCACAGAGGGAGAGTCTTTGAGCTGGAAGGCATCTGAAAGGCTGACCCCAAGGCCACTGCTAGGGCTGCAAAGAGGAGGAGAGGCCCACACACCCAGGGCTACAGGCCACCCAGGAGAACTCTCCCCTTCTCTCACCCTTGAGAGACAGCAACCTAGAAGGGGGGCTGACAACCCAAAGGGGACAGAAATCTACAGGAAACTAGGGATGCTCTAAAGACCCCAGAGGGAAGAGCAAGCCTGCAGACATGTTTAGGGAGAACTGGTAACCAACAACATCAAAGCCATTCATCCACCTGTCATCCCCATATCATGGAAATGAAAATCTGTTTCTGCCTATCTGGATGCCAGTCACACCCGTGTATCATAATGTTGAAGAAGTAAAGGCCCATCCAGTGGTGTTCTGGTAAATATTAAAACTGGCTCTCCAGGGGAAAAACAAAACTCTGATTTCTAGCTTTTGCCAGTTCCCATGGGTAATGCTCCCACCAGGGCCAATTTCAAGCTACTAATGCGACTGACTGTCACTGAGTGTGGAGTTAGGAAGAGAAGCACAGAATTGACTTTGCAAGCCAGTGCATGCCACAGGCCCACCACAGGTCTTTAAAACCCTATTTCATTTCCAAGGATTCCTGGAGAAAAGTCAAAACACTCCTGAAGTGCGTGTGCATGCGTGTACGTGTGCGTGTGTGTGTGTTGGCAGGGTTGGAGGCCGGAATGATGACACAACTTCAAACTAGTACCACCAAAGAGATTAATGTGCAAAAAGAGGTCAAGAAGAAAAGGTTCAAACATCTGAAAAAGAAGTAAAACTGACAAGTAAACATAAATGGAAACCAACCAGCATATCCAGAAAAAGTTTCTGAGTAAACATTAACCTTTCCCCATCTAACTTCTTAACCCATAAAATTGACCTCTTTGAATGAACAAGACCATAGTGCCCTGGTTTCCGTTTGCAGCCCTGCCTCCTCTCACAAACACTGCGTATTGTATGCATCCACCCCAGCTCCCTACGGGGGGCATAGTGGGTGCAAAGGCTGGAGACACATCTTGGGGCATCTCCATTTCCCCTTCCATCCACAGTACATGACATAGCATCTGCTGAGAGGGGCGTCAGTAGCTCCTTTGGACACACAGTTCACTTGTGTGTCAGAGTTCCCTGGAGAGCTCATGAAAACAGGGCACTGGACACCATACCCAGATTTTCTGACTCAGTAGCCTGGGGTATGGCCCGGGAATCTGCATTTACACTGCCCACATGATGCTGATGTGGCCAGTCCTGTGACCCCACTTTGAGAACTGCTCTCTTGGGCAATTCTGAATCCTGCCATCAAAGCATCTTCCCTGAGGAAACCACAGTGCCCTCCCTTAGCAGTTATTTTAATGCACAGACATCAAGAGATTTTACACATGTGCCCCGCCTACCGATCGCTCCCGCATGAGCTCCTGTTTGCAGTGCAGCCATATGAGGCTGGCTGCTACAGCGAGTGCTACAGGAGCGCAGGGTGGTGATGGATGCCAGCTGGTTAAAGGGTCCCTAAGATCCTCGGCTGCTACCCTGTCACTTCTCATGCCACCTGTGGGGGCTGGGTGAGCAACCATGCCCATCTCCCAGTGGAGGAAGTCCCAACAGGGACATGACCTGCTCGCCTGGGACTCTGTGTTTCAGAGACTGAGCCTCCCTTCCTTTGCACCCCATTTCCAGCTGGGGCCATGGAAGCGCACTGAGACCATGGTCAGGCAGGCAGGACCCCCTGGTGGAGCCTGGTCACAAGCCAGGTCGTCATCTGGTTTCCCAGCACACGTACCCTCAGGGCTCCTGGCCCTAACCCAACCGGCCCTGGACGCCATGCTTGGGAATTCCTGTTTCTGCCTACATTTTTTCTTTGGACTCGTTGCTGCCATTTGCAGGCAGTTCTTTCCCGTAATTGTTCAGATGCCCCCTTCACACCACTTGGAGCTGCTGCAGGCTTAGCAGCTGAGGAATAGCACCCTAGGGCACCCACCACCCCTGGCACCTGGGTGCAGTTCCCAAGGCCACAGGGTGGGGCAAGCACTGGCACCAGTGGGTCCAGCACCCCGTGTGCCTCACAGAGAGCTGCATCCACACTCGTCTTGCTTTGGCACAGATAGCCTGGTTTGGCAGAGCCCCTCAGAGCGATGCCAGCCCTGTGTTCCTCCAGGGCCCACTCTGCGTTCCAACAGCTTCTCCCCTTACATCCCAGAGGCTGCATGGACAGGAGACTCGTCTAAAGAGCCCAGACTTCTGCAGTTGCAGAAGTGCCTTCAAACTACATCTAGCGAGTCTCAGAAACACATTAGCTCTTCTGGAGGCCCAGAGGAACATGACCTGAGGCACCTCCGCCCACAACAATTTGGTGGCCATGTGGGTCAGCATTTCTCAAAGACATCGTTCAGCACCTACTGTACAACCTTGCACCAGGGTCCTAACTTCTCTGTACCTCAGTTCCCTCATCTGTAAAATAGGGTCAGTCACGCTACTCATCTCACAGAGTTACCATCAAGATGCAGTGAGCGTGTGTGCAAGAATTGCTTCCCAGGACACCTGGCAGAGGAGCCACGAGGTCTGACCCCAAGGATGCTGCTGCTCTTCTTATTCAGGAGGGCGCGAGCTATGTGCTGGCCTCCTTCATGTCTCAGAGTGCCCAGGCAAATGCAGGCTAGTGACGGGACAACCTCCTCCCACCCCATGGGGCAGCCAGCACACAGTGTGTTTCCTGCAGAAAGGGACAAGCGGGGCCCATCCCCCAGCTGCGTGTGGAAACAGAGGGGCAGGGAGGGATGAAAGGGGCGCTCGTGGGGTTTACCCAGGTCAGGCCGCCCTTCAGAGGAAGGCCACAGTGGAGTGGCAGCCGTGGCGGCTCCAGCAAGTGGACAGCCACGACCCACACAAAAGCAGTGCCACAGCCAGTCCCCCACTTACTTCCAGGACCGTCCATTGTTCGACAACAATAGCATCATAGCTCTGCATGGTTTTGCTATCTTCTGCGGAAACAGCTTCAAAGATGAATACTCCATCTGTCAAGCCATGCAAGGAATCTGTGGAACAAGAAAAAGGAGGGGTGGGGCGGGGGGTTCTGTAAACCGTCTGTGGCAGAAGCCTTACAAGCAGCAAAAATTTTCACTGCATTCATTAATAATCCCAATCAGAACATCTTTTCAGCATGTTAATTAAAGAAGGCACACACAGCCATAGAGTCTAGCCCCATCAGAATGAATGAGACTAATTTACCTCGCAGTTTTGAATAATATCCTTGATTTTATGAGTCCAAATTTCATTGTTAGCAATCACCATTTGATTTCACGCATTTACCTTCCTTTTCACGCTCCAGCATCAGGATGCACTGGGGAGGGCTTATACAGAGGAAAACACAGTCATTTTTTAGAAGAGAGACAGTTTTTAGAAGAAAACTATATTTAGGTAGGAGAGATTTTTAACACAGCAGATCTGGGCTTGTCAGACGCATTCTAGACGCAGTGATCCTTGGACGTGCTCATGACGTGGGTTGCCGTACAGACAACACTTCCAGTGGCTCTTGTCAAGAGGTAGGATTTAAGGGATGGGGGAATTTTCCTAAATGATGTGCCACTGAAAATGTTTCCTTGGGCATCGTTCTTGTCAGTGTACAGGTTCTGAGTTCTGTACACCTCAATAAATGTACATTAAACATACAGCACGATCCAGAACTGTCATAAAGAAAACTATAAAAGCTACCTGCCCCAGCAGAAGTCAGTAAGGGAGGCGCTTTCTGCCTCCTCTTTTGTTACCAGCTCCTAAATGCCCTAGCTTCCTTTAGATACGAGATTGTGGGAAAGACTGTGGACTTTGAAGCAGGTGGTTTGGGTCCCTGGTGCACTATGAAAAGTGGTAAGGGCTCCGTCTCTCATCTGTGAAATGGGATTGTGGACAGAGAATCCCTCCTGGTCCATAGATTCCATTCTACAAATCAATCACTGTCGTGGACTGACTGTGTCATGTGTTCCCGCATTTGTGTGCTTAAGCTCTAACCTCCAAAGTGACTGTTGTTGGGGATATGCCCTTTCCTGAGGTGATTAAGGTTAAATGATGTCGTCAGGGTGGGGCCCTAATCCAACAGGTGTCCTCATCAGAACATCCCAGCCCCCACTGTGCATAGAGGAAAGGCCACCAGAGGACACAGCAAGAAGGTGGCTGCCAGCAGGGCAGGAAGACACAGAATTTGCTTAGCACCTTGATGGTGGGCATCTAGCCTCCTGGGCTATGAGAAAATAAATGGTTATTGTTTAAGCCATTCAGTCAGTGGTATTTTATTGCAGCAATACCGATCCATATGAGTATGTTTAGTGATTTGCTGTTTTTATTTTAAAAGGCCAATTCACATAATAATGTGATTTTTTTATTAAGGTATGATTGATATACATTCTTATGAAGGTTTCACATGAAAAAACAATGTAGTTACTACATTTACCCATATTATCAAGTCCCCACCCATACCCCAATGCAGTCACTGTCCATCAGTGAAGTAAGATGCCACAGATCCACTATGTGCCTTCTCCGTGCTACACTGTTCTCCTCGTGATCCCCCACACCATGTGTACTAAACATAACGTGATCTTTCTTATTAGGAAGGAAAGAGAGACAAGCTCAGAAAGTCCTCCATATCACATGAGAGTTCAGGAATGGCCAGAATTTTCCAGAAGCCACAAAGAAAAAGACTGACAGATGTAAATGCATAACAATCTTTCCTCTTGCCTTCCAACAGATCTCAGAAACAAAAATCAAAGGCCATCAAAATGAGAAAATAATCTGCTACAAAAGTAAATAAATAAATGGCAAAGTTTAACATTCTTCGTATATATATATAAAGCTTACAGTGCTTAAGGGAATTTTAACTGCATAATCATTCTAGAGAGCAGTTTAACAATGTCTTAAAAGCTTGAAACAGAAAAGCGTACCCTCCTTGACCCAGAAATCCTACCTCTTTTAGTTTACTATAAGATAACAACCACTAATACCATCGAATATTAATCTTCAGGCATTACTTATAAAATTGCTTCAAAGTGCCAACAATGTATATGTTCAACAATCCAAATATTCAACCACAGAAAAAACAGTTAAATAAATTAGGAGATTTCCATACAATTAAGTACTGTCCCTAAAAAATCATGGGAATTTAATGATTCAGAAGAATGCTTCAGAGACATTGTTATGGAAGAAAAAACAAGACATAAGAGCTGCATGTGAATTTTTATGTGAAAACAGGCTGTACAAACTTTCAGTAAATACATAAAATGCTACCAGCAGTAAGGAGTGGTGCAATTAAGTTTAATTTGAATGTCCTTTTTATCCTTTCCTACAAGGTTAATATAAGAGTTAACATGGACATAACACAAGTAAGCAGACAACACAGATGAAAAAGAATGTTGTCTTTCTCTCCTGTACATGGCTCTGGAAAGCAGAACAAGAATCAAAAGGTTTTACAAACAATGGTGAGGAAATCTGGGGCCAACACAGATAGACCTTCCTTAGAGTAGTTAAAGGAAGCGAAAGCCTCAGAAGACTGAGCACTGCATCACTTGAGCCTGAAGATTCAAGCTTACCCCAAAAACCTTTCAGCTGCTCATTTATACCAGCATGGACTGGGCACCTTTATGTGCCAGGTGCTCCTGTGGTCGCTGGAGATCCAGGGGGGTTCTGTAAACCGTCTGTGGCAGAAGCCTTACAAGCAGCAAAAATTTTCACTGCATTCATTAATAATCCCAATCAGAACATCTTTTCAGCATGTTAATTAAAGAAGGCACACACAGCCATAGAGTCTAGCCCCATCAGAATGAATGAGACTAATTTACCTCGCAGTTTTGAATAATATCCTTGATTTTATGAGTCCAAATTTCATTGTTAGCAATCACCATTTGATTTCACGCATTTACCTTCCTTTTCACGCTCCAGCATCAGGATGCACTGGGGAGGGCTTATACAGAGGAAAACACAGTCATTTTTTAGAAGAGAGACAGTTTTTAGAAGAAAACTATATTTAGGTAGGAGAGATTTTTAACACAGCAGATCTGGGCTTGTCAGACGCATTCTAGACGCAGTGATCCTTGGACGTGCTCATGACGTGGGTTGCCGTACAGACAACACTTCCAGTGGCTCTTGTCAAGAGGTAGGATTTAAGGGATGGGGGAATTTTCCTAAATGATGTGCCACTGAAAATGTTTCCTTGGGCATCGTTCTTGTCAGTGTACAGGTTCTGAGTTCTGTACACCTCAATAAATGTACATTAAACATACAGCACGATCCAGAACTGTCATAAAGAAAACTATAAAAGCTACCTGCCCCAGCAGAAGTCAGTAAGGGAGGCGCTTTCTGCCTCCTCTTTTGTTACCAGCTCCTAAATGCCCTAGCTTCCTTTAGATACGAGATTGTGGGAAAGACTGTGGACTTTGAAGCAGGTGGTTTGGGTCCCTGGTGCACTATGAAAAGTGGTAAGGGCTCCGTCTCTCATCTGTGAAATGGGATTGTGGACAGAGAATCCCTCCTGGTCCATAGATTCCATTCTACAAATCAATCACTGTCGTGGACTGACTGTGTCATGTGTTCCCGCATTTGTGTGCTTAAGCTCTAACCTCCAAAGTGACTGTTGTTGGGGATATGCCCTTTCCTGAGGTGATTAAGGTTAAATGATGTCGTCAGGGTGGGGCCCTAATCCAACAGGTGTCCTCATCAGAACATCCCAGCCCCCACTGTGCATAGAGGAAAGGCCACCAGAGGACACAGCAAGAAGGTGGCTGCCAGCAGGGCAGGAAGACACAGAATTTGCTTAGCACCTTGATGGTGGGCATCTAGCCTCCTGGGCTATGAGAAAATAAATGGTTATTGTTTAAGCCATTCAGTCAGTGGTATTTTATTGCAGCAATACCGATCCATATGAGTATGTTTAGTGATTTGCTGTTTTTATTTTAAAAGGCCAATTCACATAATAATGTGATTTTTTTATTAAGGTATGATTGATATACATTCTTATGAAGGTTTCACATGAAAAAACAATGTAGTTACTACATTTACCCATATTATCAAGTCCCCACCCATACCCCAATGCAGTCACTGTCCATCAGTGAAGTAAGATGCCACAGATCCACTATGTGCCTTCTCCGTGCTACACTGTTCTCCTCGTGATCCCCCACACCATGTGTACTAAACATAACGTGATCTTTCTTATTAGGAAGGAAAGAGAGACAAGCTCAGAAAGTCCTCCATATCACATGAGAGTTCAGGAATGGCCAGAATTTTCCAGAAGCCACAAAGAAAAAGACTGACAGATGTAAATGCATAACAATCTTTCCTCTTGCCTTCCAACAGATCTCAGAAACAAAAATCAAAGGCCATCAAAATGAGAAAATAATCTGCTACAAAAGTAAATAAATAAATGGCAAAGTTTAACATTCTTCGTATATATATATAAAGCTTACAGTGCTTAAGGGAATTTTAACTGCATAATCATTCTAGAGAGCAGTTTAACAATGTCTTAAAAGCTTGAAACAGAAAAGCGTACCCTCCTTGACCCAGAAATCCTACCTCTTTTAGTTTACTCTAAGATAACAACCACTAATACCATCGAATATTAATCTTCAGGCATTACTTATAAAATTGCTTCAAAGTGTCAACAATGTATATGTTCAACAATCCAAATATTCAACCACAGAAAAAACAGTTAAATAAATTAGGAGATTTCCATACAATTAAGTACTGTCCCTAAAAAATCATGGGAATTTAATGATTCAGAAGAATGCTTCAGAGACATTGTTATGGAAGAAAAAACAAGACATAAGAGCTGCATGTGAATTTTTATGTGAAAACAGGCTGTACAAACTTTCAGTAAATACATAAAATGCTACCAGCAGTAAGGAGTGGTGCAATTAAGTTTAATTTGAATGTCCTTTTTATCCTTTCCTACAAGGTTAATATAAGAGTTAACATGGACATAACACAAGTAAGCAGACAACACAGATGAAAAAGAATGTTGTCTTTCTCTCCTGTACATGGCTCTGGAAAGCAGAAC